AACAAAACGAAAACACGACACTGAAAAGGTTTTTGTCGGACCAAATGCTAAAGCGAAGCCCAGCTCCAAATTAATGCAATGGAACACAAACACACACAGACAAATTACAGAAAATAGGGAAAACTAGAGAGCAATTAGAGAATTCAAAAGGCGTGTAAGAACTGAAACAAACCTTAGAAGGTGGAAGATGAAATGAGGCTCGAGGGGTGTTGAATTTGCAAGAACTCAAAGGTGCATATAGACTGAGATCTCCTGATATCGCCATCTGCATATCGAGCAAGCTCTCGCTCACTCCTTTCGAGGGAAATTATGTTGTTAATTCACAGCTGAAATTTTGGTGCTGAAATTTTCAGGTCCATTTTACTGCTTTTCGCGAGTGAGTTGGGGGGTCAATGAATGCAACGGCGTCGTATTGAGCACAAAGCCCTATGTTTACTGCTTTTCCGGTACGGGGTAACAATTTTTAGATGGACTTATATAAATTGAATGTTAGTTGATATTAAAAGACTTATCATACATAGATGAGTTGTACAATTATAAAATTTTCAACATGAAAAAAATCATATATTATTGAAATCTCCTTGTATTCAACGTTTTTGGTTTGATTTGTTGACAAACCATCATCCCCACAAATTAATATTTTTAAAATATTTGAGTTAGTGGCAAAAGAAAAAAAAATAAATATAATGGATTGTGACTAAATATCGATTTATTCAAGAATGTACCAACACGAGAGAAAGAGTCGTCTTGACTCTCGTTTATAGTCATGTCATAATAAAGCATAAGGGGGAAATACATTTGCTGGAACTTAAAAACAATTATAAATCGAAAGGAGTTGGATCCTTTTGAGGAATCAACACTTTATTACATGCGTGATCCTCATTCAGTATCTTACACTCCAGTACATGGTGGAGAGCTTTGTCACAACTATTCGTGTCCTTTAAATTGTCCATGTTACGCAATATGGTCGAAGTTACCAATCTTCAAATGCAACTCATAGTTACTCCTGAACATTTGATAGTATTAAAAAATTCAAAAGTGTAGAAATCAGAAGAAACCCGTCATTATAATCTCATTTGTACGTACACTACAAGAAAATGGTGAAGTTCCAACGGGAATTCCAACGGATATTTTAATGCTATTATTTCCGTTGAAATTATTCCAACGGAAATTCCAACAAAAATATTCCGTTGGAATGAATTTTCCATTGGAATTTCCGTTGGATTTTGACGATTCCAACGGTAGATTTTCCAATGGGAGTGGAAATAAAAATTTTAACGGAAATTGCATATTCCAACGGAAATTCCTACGGTAAAAAGCCGTTGGAAATATAGCCGTTGGAATCATCAAATTCCATCTAAAATTCCAATGAAAAACACATTCCAACGGAATATTTCAATTGGAATTTCCATTGGAATGATTCCAACGGAAGCTATTACATTGGAATATCCATTGAAATTTCCATTGGAATATATTACCGTAGGATTTTCCGTCGGAATATAACAATTTTTTTGTAGTGGTAGTATCATTTTTTCCCTTCAAAGGTGAAGTTGAAATTGATTTGAATCTATTTTTTTTTTTCACTCGGATTCACACATTTTTTCCCTTCAAAGATGAAGTTGAAATTGATCTGAATCTACTTTTTTCACTCAAAATAATTATTCATTTCAACTATTTTTCAAATTAATTTTTTATAGGATATCTCTGAATGTAATGTTGAGGATGTTCCACTTCAATTGGTTAGTTTTTTATTATTATTTTTATTTTATTTAACTCTTTTTATTTTTAATTTTCTCTTTCCAAAGGTTTTTTATTCTTTTCCCCAATTGTATGTAATTATTTTTTTATAGGGTATTGACTGTCATTTGAATAAATCTGGTGATCCAAAATGTTGTTCTCCAATTGTTAATGGAGTTCAATCTTTGGAAGACTTTGAAATAACACCTGAGATGTTTGATGAATGCCAGAGGTTGGCTAATGAGAGTATTCGTAAAAGAAATTCATCAACTGAGTATAAGGTTATCATGATCACTTATTCGAATTAATTGTATTGTCGATCTGCTTTTTTTAAAATTCTTCTTTTATGTTTTCTCTTATGTAAGGTTTGATTGTCATAAATTGTTGTTGTTTTTGTTATGTTTCATGGTTTTTCAGTTACCTCTTTAAACATTTTATCGGTTAATTATAATTTTTTTTAATATATTTCAGAAAATTCTCAATCCTCATGTTCCTGTTCCGGTGAAACCTCTGAAAAAGTACTGTTTATTTTTTAAATTATTATTTTTCATTCTCATATTTGTGTATTTGTCTTTTTTTTTTTCAAATGTTATTTTATTAATCATTTATTTGCTTTTTCGCTTCTTGTTTTTTGTATATTACTTTATATTTATGTATGTTAGAATGTTCCTTATTCGTCCAAAAGGACCACCTATAGTTCGGCTCTTCACACACGCAACATGGTTATTTGTAATAGAAATCGTTATGGTGCGCCTTCTAAACTGCCTAATCCATCTGAGGGGGTAAAGAAAGTCTTGCATGGTTCATTTCTGTTTGACGAACCATTTTGGGATGGATATAATCTTATTTGTGAAGGCTTTCAAAAATGGTTAGTAAAGAGTTTATTTGATAGTCCAAAGCAAAAAGAATCTGGGTATTTTTTTTTTTTTTCCTTTTACATGCATAAGGTTATTAATATTTTTAAATTACATTCTCTTTTTATAAATTTTTTTGGCCTTTTTTTTCTTTTCAGCTTTGTGTTCTACAAGAAGCAGTCGTCAAAAGTGAAGAATGGGTTTGATTTCAACATTGCTAAAATTTATGAAAAATCATGGTTCTTGATTCTTGACGATCGAGTGCCATAGATTCTTGGATTCTACGGTATGTGATAATCATGTCTTAAATATTTTGTTATATATGGTTTTTTATTTGATATGTTTAATTGTCATACATTGTTGTATTTTTAATCTACATTAATGCATCATTCAAAATATTTTCTCCGTTATTTTTGTGTCCTATGATTAATCTTATGTTTTTATGTTGGTTTTGTTTTCTTTTCTTCTTTTTTATAACAACACCTTGGCGTCATTTTCTATTACTTGCGAAAGATGACATTTCATTCATCGCCTTGTGTCGTTGAGAGTGTTACTACTTCAGACCTTATTTTCCATCAAAGGATGAGGAATACTTAAGCTAAATACCTTTCTTCTATTGATCGTCGCGCTGCTTTTCATCCTCACAATGATATTTTAGATTATATGTCTGGGTTTAAAATTATATGTGGGAGGATTTACACTGGTTGATCATGTGTTATTGCCTATGCATACTGAGATTGGTGGTGTGGGACATTGGATACTTGGAAGACTTTTTATTAAAGAAAGGATTCTATTTATTTACTATAGCATAAGGTCACCAGATATTGATGCTGATATCCGTAAGGATGTGGAATGCTATTCTGTTTT